AAACTATCAATGAATGCTGCTAAAAGTCACCATCCATGTGAGGAAAAATAGACTTCCTACACATACCACACTTAGAAATAATTCTAGTTGAATCCAGGGACAAAAAATTGAGACTTGTAATAAAAAATTTAAGAGAATATTTTTATAACAGGGAAAAGAAACATGTCTTTCATAAGACATGAAAAGTCTAAGCTGTAAAGTAGTGTCATGGTAAGCATATTAAGCCAATATTCGTTGTGCTATCCTATATATTTTATGATATTCTGAGTACATAATATGCACTAACTCACAGTATTCTCATGAAAACATTGTAAGGCAGCAATCATTACAGTTTTCATAAAAGATGGATGCCAGGTGAGGCCATTAGTACATGAATTCTAGCTCTAAAGCCACTGCTGTCTACACTTTCAAGAGAGGAAAATCAACCACGTTCTAGCTAAAGGAATTCATAATACATTAAGTAATCAAACCTACAATGTAATTACTAGGGGAAACATTTTCAATGCATATAACTATAATGGCAACATGTATATAATACTTATTCTTTACAAATCAATTTGTGAAAATAGGCTCAGATTAGGAACAATCAGTATACCAAAAAGGCAGGTCCATGACAATTATGATATGAAAAATATGCATGTTGATAGGCACATAATTCATTGAAGTTGTCTTGGAAGTAAGTTGGCACTTAACTACTAAACTAGAACATGTGGCTTCCTATAATCTAGGTAACCCTTGATGCCCATAGAGGTAAAGAATGAATTGAATAAATTGTGTGCTAATTACAATTTGGAATGCAAATTTTTGAAATTCAAAACTTTGGTTGAAACAGATAAGTTGAGTAAGCTATATATTACATGTTTTCATTTGGGTAAAGCCTAAAACCTCACCAAATCACGGTACATACCGTCATGGGTGTCTACACTGTCATAAGACTTATCATCAACTTTATAATATAATAGCTGTCCTGTGTGTGGGGGGAGCGAGTTAAGGATGAAATGGAATAGGTATAGAAGTTGAATTTTATCTTCTTTTTCTTACAAGAACACATGCACAAGAAAATACAACAAAATGTTAAGACATCCAAAAGTATACGTGGTAGGTATCTATGATGGCGAAACATGGTTGTCAACTTGAAAGGACTGAGAAGCATCTAGGAGACTAGTAAAACTATACTGGGTGCATCGGTGAGGACATTTCTAGGGAGGATTAGCTGAGAGAGAAACCTGTCCTGAATATGAGCTGCAGAGATAGGCTGGAGCCAGATGGGAAAAGGCCAATAGCACAGGGTCCCCTCTCTCTGCTTCCCAACCGCTGTGATGTAATCTAGTCTACTCTGCCATGCTTTTCCTGCCATCATAGGCAGAAGTCACTGAAACTACAGGAAAAATATATTCCTCTTAATTTGCTTGTGTCTCATATTCTATCACAATATTGAAAGTCTAATAACACAGTTTCAAGGTTTGGAGTTTTTTTTATTACTTTCTATGTATTTGATATTGTCCATAGCTACACTTAAAATAATAGCACATTGTAGTCAATCATTTTAAGAGCCAATTATAGTTCTTTTTTCCTGAGAACTATCTTGCATGGATTTCATTTTTGTACATATTAATATCCTTAGTATCCTTATTATCAAAGTTTGGAATAGAAGCAAGACCTTGAGGGCATTTATTCAAATCTTCTGAGCTCAAGTTAGTATTTTGGGCAAAACCCTTCCTCAAATTTTCCTTTATGCTTAGTAACCTGGAAAATATGGCTTTGTTAACTGGATATTTTTCTTTTCAGAAAATCAAGGTTCACTGATAATGAATTTTTGAAGAAGTAGAACATAGTTGGTTACACATGACATTAACTCTGTGTGGAACATGTGAATCTCTCTGCAATGACACAGAGTCTGTGGGAAACTATCAGCATAACTATCAGCATAACTGTCAGAGTTATCAGCATAACTATCAATTATCATTATTTTGGTAACATGTAGAAGCAAAGGTTGAAAGATCTGATTGGCAAACTGTCCAAACTGTCAGATACTGTATAGTAAATGGTAGGGAGTGAATGGTGTGGTTGTTTTGAGGTCTTTTAAGGAATGCTGAGGTTGCATAGGTGTATATGGATCTTGCAGCAACTAATTAAGGCAGATGTTAACATCCTCCATTTTCAGATGATGGTAACACCATTCAGTGCAAAGAAATGATTTCCCCAAATCTTAAGAAAAATGACACCAATCCTAAAAATAAGACATGTGCTCTCTCTATACCAACTACTCTTAGCTGTAGTCATGTACTTTAATATTGAACATCTTTGCTGAGTTAAAGAGAAGGTCCTCTAAAAGCAGGGCAAGGGGGGAAAATCTCATGATTAGAAAAATAGTCCTGGTTCCTAATTCACATAATAGTAAGAAAAAATGGGGGTGCATGTCCCAGCTCTAGATTGTTCTTTTCTAATACACAGGGAATGCTATGGTCCCCCACAGGCACATGTTTTGAGCACTTCTTCCTAGATGATGGAGCTATTTTGAAGGGTGTAGAAACCTTTAAGAGGCTATACCTTGGTTCAGATCTACTCTTTCTGCCAAGATGTAAGCAGTCCTGCTACATGCTTCTGCTGCCACAGGCAGTAGAGCTCCCCATTGTGCAGCCCCCCAAAATGGCAGAAAACTCTCTAAAATTGTGAGCCTAAACAAACCCCTCATTTCTCAAGTGGTTTCTTGCAAGTACACTGTCACCCTAGCATAAAAGCAACCCAAATGGAAGCCTTATCCCTTCAACCCATACAGTTGTTACCTAATGTAAATCTCTTTCCCCTGCCCAATAAAGAGATGAATGGAAATGATAATCTACTATTTTGTATTATATATACCCATTTATGCACTGTGTTGCCCTGAATGTACTGTGTATGCCTAGAATCAAGGTTACAGGTCACTGTTTCTGCTACTAGCTCTACCTAATCCATGTCTAGCTCTGGGCCAAATCCCTATAAACAAATGCACTTTATAAAGTTGTATTCTATAAACTCTAAGCACATATCTTCATATACATATTCTGTGAGACCCAAATCATCAGGGAGCTGAGTGGAAGATAAAAAGGAAACTATGGTGTGGTGGTTTGAATAGGTATGGACCCCATAGACTCATGTGTTTGAATGTTTGGCCCATAGGAAGTGGCACTATTAGGAGGTGTGACCTTGTTGGAGTAGGTGTGTTCTTGTCAGAGGAAGTGTGTCACTGTGGAGATGGGCTTTGGTTTTAAATATGTCCAAGCTATGCCTAATACACAGTGTTTACTTCCTGTTGCTTGCAGATCAAGATGTAGAACTTTCAGCTCCTTCTCTAGCACCATGACTGCCTGCATGCTACCATGCTTCTGACCATGCTGATAATAGACTAACCTCAGAACTGTAAGCCAGACCTAATTAAATGAGTTCCTTTGTAAGAATTGCTGTGGTCATGGTGTTTCATCACAACAATAGAAACCATAACTAAGACATATGGGTTGCTTTTTAAAGACCTGAAGTAGTAGTATTTTTAAGAACTTGTGTGACAATATTTCAGTTATGAAATCATGCCCAGTGTTTGTCGTTGGCTTCTTAATTAATGAGGAGATAAAAGTGGTGTGTAATCAGCTTATGAACGGAAAGAAAGACATGAGCATCTTAAATGATTGCGAAGACTATTCTCTTAAGCGGGTAAGCAACTCCTAGTTTCCTTATGACATTTCCAGATTCTTAATTAACATTCATTGGGAAAAAAAATCAACTGAAGTGTTTGAAATAAACTAAGGATGATCCATTGAGTCTACATTTTCCTCCTATACATTTTATTAACTGAAAGAGCTAATTGGCTCAGTCCACATTGCTGGCAGCACCATCTTGAAGCAAAATGTTGGACAAGGTCTCCTGGCAAACGGTGGCCACTGCCCTTTCGCCCAGAAAAGGGGCTACTGTTGTACCAGCTGGAGCCCAGTGCTGGCGGGCAGCAGTCTGAAGGGCTGCCTGCTCATGCTAATGATCTCAGACCAGTGCTGCTCTTATTGGGAAGTGGGTGGAGAGAAGTTCATGCCAAATTCTTGCACAAGGTCAAATGTTTTTGGAGAAAGAGAGCCAGGGTTAAATTAGCAGTCAGGCTGAGGTAGGGGTAACTAAGTGGAGGAATACAACAACTCAGTGCAACCAGGAGGGGTGAATCTGGAAAGTCAAACAGACACAGCAATAAAAAGTAATTACTAACACATTTCTCAACTTGGAAAGCCAGCCACATCTCACACCAAGGCCAGATTCAGAGCCCTTCTGTTCCAAGGATGTTGGAGCAGGCTCAGGGACAGGAAGGGATTGTGCAAGCCAACCGCCTCTCCTTGGCTTTGGAACCACGCACCCTCAAAAGCAAAATGCATCTTGAAAGAGAAAGTGAAGGACGTGTCTCTCTGAATCCCCCCCTTTATGACAAACACATTGTGTCTACAATATACCTAAAATACAATATATCTTTAGGACTGTTTGCTAGTAAAAACAAAATCGGTATCAAAGCAAAGGAAGGGGAACCCTTTTAGGAAAATGGCATGGCAAACCTAAAATACCTCTTTTCGCCTCTGCACATCAGCATCACTGCCACAGAGAAGCTGTTTGTGGGAGGGGCACATCCAAAGAGGAGGTGGGAGAAAAGAAGTAGTGGGTGGAGGAGGTGCTGCTCTCTGGTGTCGGAAAAATTTGTGACAGGACTGACTGCTTTGGATTGACTATTTTGACAGCTGATTTTTACCCCCCCCCCCAATCATGACAGACGATTACTGAACGTCAAGTTGATGAATGAACACTTCATCAGATCTCGTTGCCTTAACAACTAAAATAGCCAAAATGTTAAGACAGTCAAATAGAATCGATTATTTTTGATGCAATCTGTGGGTGGTTGACCCAGGAATTCTCAGCCCGATCATACCTATAAACAGAGGCACTATCTACCAATGCAAAAGCAGCTAAAGGACGAGAAAGGAGGCATCAATCACCTGGATCCCTTAGCTCTCCGATGCCACTGGAAAGATGTAAAGCACCAGCCACGGCAGCCTCTGGATGTCTCTAGGTGATGGGTGGTCCAGGAGGCAGCCATCTGTGAAAGCTGGGATTCTGATTCCTGCAGCTTCTATCGAGATGAGAGTCTGGCTTGGATGGAAAAACAGATTGCCCCAAATCGTTGTCTAGAGGTGCTGAATCATGCATGAATGTCAGGACACGATGCCAACTATGGAATCTTTTCCTGAGGGCTTTATCTGGTATGAACCCAGAAAGTTCTGTGTTAGGATTTTATTTTTTAAAAAACACACAGAGATAATTGTTGTGTCATACACCCAAAGGGAAATGAATCTCTTCCATAATTGGATTTAGTATTTGCTGGCTTCTTAAGGACAAGAGAAAGTTCATGTCAGATGCCTTAAAATCGAAAATTAAAACATTCACATCAAAGCCTGATATAATGGCACATGTCTGTAAATCCCAGAAATCCAGTGGCTGAGGCAGGAGGATTACGATTTTGAGGCTAGTATGCATTACCTAGTGAGTTTCAGGTTGTCTCCAAAGTGGGATCCTGTCTCAAAAATTAAAGAACCTTAAAAATCCAGATTCCATCAACATACAAGATGAGCCAGCTGCTGTGAGAATAGGTACAAAACCAGAGAGGCAGACGTCTTAGCCCGCTGGTGTGGGAATAGGTACAAAACACCCCCGAAGCTTCGTTTTTGTTTACTTGTTTGCTTATTTGGGTCTTTTCCTTTTTCATTCCGACTTAGGAAATAAATTAGTTATAACTTGGCAGCAGTGCAGTCTGTGTTGGAAAAACAGGAATTAATGAAGAATGTGACATTGTGAGGGACTGAAAATGAGTAAGGAAAAAAAGCCCACAGAGTATTTACGGTGCAATTTTCAAATATAGATTGTAGTAGATAGCACACACAGAAACAGATACAGTCTCCAACCTTTATTGTTGAGCAAAGACTAATTCCTGAGTTTTCCCACTTTTAAAAAGGATGCAGAAGAAAAACAATGCAATGCTAAGATAGGAAACAGCACCGCCTTCTTTTGAATGGCTAATTGCTTGAAAGCTGATTCAGGCTTAACTCTTGGAGGTCCTGAGACAGCAGGCTTGTGGTTGAGTAGTAATGAAAGTCAAAGGAAGTGTTATGGAAACACAGTTATCTACCTTGGAGTAGTAGTATGCTACAGTAATCACCAAAGATGTTGATATATTGATTTGAAGAAATATGAATTTCTGATATATTTGTTCATGCATTAAAATGTAACATTCCATTTTCTTCTTAGAGCATTGTATCTTCTGCAGTACTTTCACTTTTCTTATTTTTATTGATCCTTCAGAACAAGTTGGCATTTACACTGGAGTGTGCAGGTGAATGCCCAGACTTTTCTTTCAGGCTTGAATTGCTGGGGCCTGAGCTTCTGGTTGTTTGACTGTCTCTTCATTTATTTCACAAGAGTGACTGCTAAAGGATAATAAAAATAATTTAAAAAGTGGCCTGAGACTTAAACGCAGACAATCTTGTTTGAATAAAGCAAACCGCGCCTTTTTTGGGAATTTAAACCAGTATACTCCTAAAGAATAGGGCAAAGCTAGGGCCGATGTTAAAATGTCTTAACATAGATAGATGGTAAGTCAAGGGAAGGCCAGGAAGCTGGGCCAAGAAGAAAAATGGAGTCAGTGGAGGTGATAGGGAAAACAGAAAATGGAAGTCTGGTGGACTCAGGAGCAGCGGAGAGACTCCCTGATTGACAGATAGCAGCCTAGCCTTCAGCTGACGAGCGGCTATCCTTCTGGTCTTTAACTGGGTTTTCCTGGCCTCCTTTGCTGGCATGAATGAGTTTCTATTCTTTGCATCTAAGAGTTTGTCTAAAAAGTCTTATCTAATTTTAAAATCATCCTAGTTGAGAACAAGGAAATTTATGTTTATTTTAGGCTAATTAGGGTTGTAATCTTAAAAAATAAACGTCTCCAAGTCTTGAAATATTCTATTTTAGATGAAACTACGAAAGAATATGCGGCTTCCACCCAGCCTTCTGGGGGCATGACTACTTTTGAAATGTAGTCACCATGTTGTGAGGAAGCCCAACTTACAGAGTACATGGAAAGGTTCTGAAACTCCAGCTGAAAAAGATGATGATGTCTTCGAGGAGACGGGAGAGGAGGATGAGTCTGAGCAGTTTTAACTACTCCTGTCCATCCTCCAGGACCTAAGCCCAGCTACTGGCTATAAACACCTAAGACACTCAAACTAGACTTTCCCAAATGGTATCAGCAGTCAACAGCACCCATTTACCTCAACCACTCTCCACCTTTCTATTTATTTACTTATCTATTTTGATATGGGGTCTCACAGGGAAGTGACATACATACTTGACTATTGGGTAAACCGGATAAGCTGGTCATCGTGCCCTAAGGATCTTCCTGTCTCCACCCCACCTCCCCCAGCACTGGGATTACACTCATGTGCAGACTTCCCTGACCTTTATATAGGGTATGAGGTCATGATGCTCAGTGAACATTTGAACTGAGAGATCTTCCCAGGCCTTTAAGGTGTATTTTGAGCACAGCAATAAAGATTTTCAGAACACTATTTCCAAGTACATAGTAGACTACATGTAGAACCTAAAGAGGCCTATCTGGCACTGTGATTCTTGGTGGAAGGAGACGCAACATATAATTCTTTGTCCTTTGCCGTAAACACAATGCCCAGGCATGCCCAAACAACTATTGTCTGTCACCAAATTTCCTATCCTATTTAAAATACAACACCATTTTGTTGTGGAGATGGTTCAGTGATTAAGAATACTTTGCTCTTCTAAAGGACCTGAGTTTGCTTCCCAGCATTCATGTCAGGTGACTCCCAACTGCCTGTAACTCCAGTTCCAGGAGATCTAATGACTTCAGCTGATCTCTACAGACACACACACACACACACACACACACACACACACACACACACACCATACATTCACTAAGAAAGACACATCAATAAATATCAAAGAAACACAAGATGACACTTTTATAAAATACTGTATGTTTCACAGTACCCTTACTTTTCTCATTTTAGTTGATCTATGTCATGGTCCTTGAGAGGAAGTTGACATGTACACTTTCATGTGCTGATGATCCCAACCTTTTCTTCCCAGTTGGTTTTCTGGGAGATGATTCTTATTTTACACAATAGTGTCTGTGTGGACAAAGTTTCTGGAAGGACCTTTTCAAAGCATCTGAAATACTGCTTCTTCTTTTCTAGAAGTGACACACACATAGCTGTCAGGAATGCCAACGGTGGTCACTGTATTTTGAGAAACAAGAGTGAACTCAGCTCTTGGACAGATAAATATACACTATACTGATCTCAACCTGAGTAAATGACTACATGTATCGGAGAACACAAACCCGATGTGATTTTCTTAGTCTTTGGCTCAGTAACCAACAGAGAAACCATGGGTTGATGATCCCGTTGCACAGGCTGCAGAAGCTAACTGCAAATCCCACTGGCACAGACCATAAGTGGGGATCCCCACAGTCTGCTCTTTGGGTTTAGAGGAGTCACCAAACTTAGGAAAAATCTTGTTTTTTTATTGGTTTATTCAAAATGACACAGGTGAATGCCTAGGTGCAAATGGAAGGAATAAGAGACACCTAAGATGGTGAATAGACTTCTAATTTCCCCTTAGTGCCCCACCCTCCAAAAACTTACATGTGACCCGACAGCAAGATGTCTGCTGAACTCTGTCCTTCAGGTTCAGATAGAGGCCTCATTGCACAGGCATGGAGTCCATCATCAGGTATTGCTAACTAACCATCAACCTCTCTCCCTTCTGGGTCGAGGTGTGGTATTGTACATTTGTTTTATCAACATTGTGAACAATCCCTGAGAGAAACAACTTGAAGAGAGGAATTGTGCATTTTGGCTCATGTTTTCTGAGGTATCAGTCCATCTTTGCAGGGTGGGAGTATGGTGGAGCAGAACCGTTTCCATCATGAAGGCCAGAAAGCAGAGCTAGGGCAAACTAAACCCTCAGACACACTGCCAGTGACATTTGAAAGAGCATCCTGTTCTAGACTCACCAACAGGGTCTCATTTAAGAGTACATAAACTGTCTAAATACAAATGGTTTGTGAGGTGAGGGCCAGAACACCAACAGGAGTTGGACTTAGACAGCATTTGGGTCCCAGTCATAGAGAGCAGCAAGGCACACTTGGAAATTCACTGTTCTTGGAATCAAAAGATAAAGAAATGTAGAGCCAGTCTTGTCTTTGCCACTCATTAGCTAAACTATGCTGAGCAAATCATTTAACATCTCTGATTCTCAATTTTCTCAACTGGAAAATGACTATCAGATGATGATATTATGCATTATGTATTTTACAGGTAGCTGTAACCAACAGAGAGGCAATGTTTATGAACTATAAATACCATCGTAGTGTTGGTTAAAAGGAGAATTTCTTTAAGGATTATAACAAGGACTTTGAATTGATTTTATCTTAAAACCTCATTAGCTTTGAGTCCCTAATGGGCAAATATTTCTGAACGATACTTACTATTTAGTTACAATGGGTTTCTCCTTTCCACAGGACGTTAACTATAAACACAAAGGAAAGCATACCTGGTGTGCCTTATTGGCAGCATAGAATGTTTGATTTGGAAACTGCCTCTTATGGTATAGAAAGGAGTCATTTCAAACAAATCATTTACTAATAGACGGTATCCAACCATTTCCACAATAGAAACCAGAAGAAAAACCACAAGAAGACCTCATTGAGTCTCCTGGGACAGCAACACTTTGAAAGAGGAACTGTGACAACAGGGACAGAGGGCAGGGAGAGGGAGAGGGAGGGAGGGATGTGCATGACAGAAATGCTTTATGTTTATAGAGGTGCCTCCCTCCATTGATTTCCAGGCACTGAAAAACTCTAATTGGCTAATCTTCACATATCCCTTTGAGGTTAAGTGGACAGCAAGCATTATCCCTGATTTTCAAAAGTACAAAGAGCTTAAGTGTCTTGCCTGAGGTCACAAGAATTGGCTGGTCACAAAGCTGACCTGCTACAGGACCCCGGCCTTCAAGCCATCTCCCAGCCTTGGTGACCTCACTCAGCAGAGTCATCTAGGGTCTTTTGTCATCTTTCTGAAGCAAAGTCCTTGGTGATTCATTTCACCAGTAACAGATGACAATG